AGATATTTCTGTGAGCCCTCTCTTCAACTGACCCTGCCCTCAAGAGGACATTAAAGGAGAACTACTGTTCAGAAGAAACACTGGCACATGTGCTCCTGCAGAAAACAATGATGTTTTCTATTCTAAAGATGAGAGGTAAGCAGACTGGTCTACTGAATAGTGTAGTATTTTAGCAGTTGTCCCATTTGTAGGCTGATGTGCAAATTGGGCAAACTGGTTCACACTGCTAAATATGAAGATGTACATTAGCCTTTTAAGGTTTCTGATCAAAACAAACACATGAGGGACACCAGTCAGTACAGTGTGGTGTGATGCCCCCAGCCTTCTCTGAGGATACCTGTTTTTGTGAAAAGAAATGGAGGGTATAATCCATTATATTGTAGAGACTACACACTGTGTAGTGTATTTCACTACTGTTAGAAGTGTTGGAATACACTACATCAGTTAGTATTTCCTTTTTTTGTTGATTTTCTAAGTCAAAATTCATGCCCATCCTCTACAGAGAACACACTTCTGCACATTTCAATGCACAATTTCTGTTTATTTGCTGAATTTAACATATTGGAAAAAAATTAAATGTTTAAGTTTTATTTTATTCAGTATGATAAACTCAAATGAATAGCAAATGCCAAAAGTTGCAGAAAAAAAGCACTACTACTTCTTTAACATTTAAGGATCAAAATATACCAGTGAATCATTCTTGTGAATGTGCAAATGGAAAGGAAGTAGAGGAGGACATCAAGATTCGCCATCTGTCTCTCTCTGTCTGTGTTTTTCATCACTCTTGAATTACGATTTACGCTTTGAACTTGGCTGTCCTTATGGGTGTGAGGTTGCTTTTGAATGTAGAAAGACTATTATTTATCTGTCAGGTTCTAACGGCTGGAGTTTTTTTTCCCCCAGTCTCTCTAGGAATAGTTAATTTGCACCAGGCAATCAGAAGCACTGTGTGAAACAAAATAGCCTCTATCTCTCACAGCTGTAAGATAGTGAGGTAGAGAGGGATGCTTTTATAGAGGCTAATACTGGCTTTTAGAGGCTACTCTGTATTGTAAAGTGCTACTGTACCTGTTTGGTCTCCCTCTCTCTTTCTCTTTCTCTCTCTCTCTCTCTCTCTCTCTCTCTCTCTCTCTCTCTCTCTCTTACACACACGCACACACACACACACACACACACACACACACACACACACACACACACACACACATACATACACGTACACACACACATCTACAAAAACACTATTTATTAAATATTTTTTACATGCCAAGTGCTCTCTCGTAATCGAATCAGCTACGCTAGCAGATGGGCTTACATAAGATGGCTAGCCGGGAGAGAGAGACACACAGAGAGAGGAGAGAGTAAGCTTTTTTCAATTTAAAGCTAATGCTTTTCATAAGCACATCTTTAGGCCTGATGCTCTATTCTTAATTTGCTGATCTGTGGTTGAGAAAAGCAGCTCCGAGCGCTGTGCAACAAAGATGGAATTAATAGCACAGAGAGAGAGAGAGAGAGAGAGAGAGAGAGAGATAGAGCTCTGAGCTTATAGTACAGATGCACTGCTTACAGTAAAGGTTATCTGAGGCACAAATGCTCAGGCGCAAGAGCTTCATATGTACATGCTGAAAAAAAAATTACTTGATTCAAATTTGTGTTAATTTAATATACTTTATCAGTGTGGAAATGACAAACACATTAGAATCAAGTAAATTCAGTGCATCATTTTTCTCAGTGCAGATGTACAATACAGTGTTAAAGCCATAGACAGCTAACATTATGTAAGACTATTTATAATAACCTCGTAACACTCCTAAAAACTATGCAACCTGGTAGACTACCATCAGATAAACAGTACATAAATGTTTTGTCTTTGATTTCAGTTTTTTCATCATATTTTTATGTTCTATTCATATATCTTTGAAATGTGCAGTAGTTTTGCATTTAAAATAACGCTGCATTGTCATTACAGTGAACTGAATCACTTCCGTCAATCAAATGCCAGCTGCTATGGGGTGTGTTGCTAAAACACAAGTGTAAGTGCAAAGAGGGAAATTGTGTGCAGAGCTCTAGGCCAGTTTTGTCCAATAATATTGTTTGTACACTTAAAAAAATCATCTATTTTATGTTACCCAGCTGTTATATCTCCCACATTCATGTTGAAAGTGTAACACAATCAGTTACCACTCCACATGAACAATCTGATTGGTTAGCATTCAGCTGATTTGCATAAAGTTTGCCTAGAACGAGAGAACAGAGGGAGCTGGACGGGCATCAGCAGTTTGATGTGTCAGTTATATGTGTATATATATATATATATATATATATATATGATGTAAATTATCTCAAACATTCAAATAAAAAAAGGCAAATGATATCACTGCTCAAATCATGTATGTGCTGCTTAAAATTTCAGCACAACAACTTAAACTGAAAGCAATTCTCCCAAAATGAATGGAAGCTGTAAAGTGTGGATACATTAAATACTGCAAAATGTGATACTATGTTTAGTTATTCAGGCTTTTGTGTAATTTTCTGGAAGAAAAAAAAACTGAAGGGTGCTCTCTGACTTGCACAGTACTGTGAACAGGAGCGGATAGAGCAGCCTAAATCCATTCACAGAACAAAGTATTATTACTTACATTAAAATCACTCAAATAGTATCAACAAAAAAAAAAGTTAGATCTTAGTACATCCAGCATTTAGGTGTGGGTCCCAGGTGCTGAACCAACACAAATACAAAAACAAACTATTAAACAAATATAAACTGTGCAAAATTTAAACTTGCTAAAAATCTAAAAGTAAATTCTAACTTTCCTCACAAAATATAACCTAGCTGAGTATAAATAAAAAATATTAATAATTTGAATGTATCTATTTACTAGGGGTGTATTTTCTTTAAAATATTTTAGGGATTTAGGATTTCAGTGCATTATGAAATCTCAAATTTCACCATGGTTTGATTTGTTTACATTATTTTAGTACAATTCAGAATTACTTTTAATGATATATTGAATGCACATTTTTACACTGTAGTAAAAATTGACAATAAAGGGGTTTTTACATTTTAAATAGCCTGAGCCGTTTATTTTAACCAAAAAGGTGCATACTTTATTAAACATTATAATTATTGTGCACCTCTAGTTACTAAGTACTTCTGCACCACAGACACTTACAGTTAGACCTGTAAGTCAGCAAACACCCATCTATTTAGCATGCAGAGTCCTCAAGTAACCAGTTTTGAGCTCTAGCTCAGTTTGTCCCCTGACTATGATCCCTGGTGGGGTGAGAGATGATGGCCTGAGTCTGGACCCACAGGCAGAAAACATGACGAACTCTCTCTGTCTCTCTGGCCGGGGAAACTGGAAGCTGCCACTCAGAAGCACACAAACAGCAAACTGATTTTGTGGAGTTTCACTCAACTTTTGAACTCTGGAGCAACACACTTAAAAAGGTTTCACCGATTCCAGTTACATTTGTGTTCACTAAGGATTTCTGGTAACCATGCATGATCAGTCAGGAGTCTGTGAAAACTAACAACAACACTATCACTGATAATATATGACTACAAACTCCTCCCTTTGAAAAACTAGTCATATCTATGAGAGAATGAAGTATAATTTGTTTACAATTTAATGGACATATTCCTATGATTGAAGAATGCAGAGTTCTGTTCTACAAAAATAGGCCTTTCCAAAACTGATGATACTCAGAAATTGCCCAATAGCTTGGGTTCTTTAAGTGTGTTTCAAGTGCAGGTCAATGCATGGAAATATTATCCAGATAGATGCAGCAGATTAGGTTGAAAATGCTATAATCGTAATAATGCATGTTCAGTCTGTGGGGACGGTTGTCTGACCGTGATGGCTTAGCACACTCAAACAGCATGCTTGCATCATAGCGTTGCTGCAGCATCTGCTGTTATCCATTAAGTTTTAGCCCGACAGACAGGTATGTGACTGCTCAAGTCCACCCCCCCTCTGAATATATTTCTTAAATTTTTTTATGGAATATTGGCCAAATATCCATAACATAAACAAGGTTATCTTTGACATCCCCTGTGATGGAGCACTTCTTCATCTTTCTCCATAGTCTTAAAGGTTTTTGGCAAAATGCCAACTGTATTTGAGGTTTTATTTGATGTATGCACTGTTAAAGTCAAATATATGCACAAGCAGTAAGCATGAGATACAGTTACGATGCAGTCATAATTTCAGTTTTGCTGGATTATAACGCATGATGTTGCGGCTGCTGCTTGTGATGACGATGATGAAGACAGTGATGCGATTATTATTGTTGTAGGATTGTAAGTAAAAGGTGCAAAGTTCATAATGATGATGATGGTTGTGATCAAGATTTTGAGTAAGTTCATTATTGACCATTTGTAAAATTCAGAGAAAGTCCAGCCTCCTTTACTTAGTGTCATTTTAGGTTACCCAGTAGCATCTTTAACAATTATACTAACAGCCTATAAGGTTTAGTAGTACAGAGGAAAATTTAGAAACACACAGAGGAGTACATTTAAATGCAAACAAAGGAAGCCATGTTTATGTTAACCAAAACAGGGACATCGCTTAGCAACTCTATATTAAAGTGGCAGGTTTTCATGCCTAATAAAAGTAGGCTTTAGTGACGAAAGCTACCCCTTCAGACACTGGAGCAAGCTTTTAGTGTTAGCTTGTGCCAGGCATTATCCGTTCTTCACCAACAGGTGTTTTCACATCTCTTAGCCTGATAATTCAGAGTAATTTACTGTCCATGCCATTCTCACTATAGGTTTGTGCTGAGGAGTTTTTCCTTCTTCTGAGGGAGAAAGGAACATTTAAAGATTATTGTGCTTAGCTGAGAGGTGTGTTAATCATAATTTTAAATATGTAAAATCATAATTTTAAATATGGTGGTGATGATGATGATGATGGTAATTATGATCACAGTTAACTCACACTTTTGATTTCCCTTTCCATCTCCTAATCTCTCTCTCTTTCCCCTTTTTCTCTCTGCAGCTGCGTCCAGTTTCAGTTTCTGCCGGGCTGCGCTGGACCACACAGTCTCAGCGGAGGAGCTGAACTATCAGCTCCCACGGAAGGCTGGCGGCAACCTGACTTGGCATGACGGCCGCAGCCCAAGGACAGCGGGCAGAACTGTCAAACTACTGCAGCAGCCTGGCACTGAGGGAATACAGGTATATTCATTAAAGGCAACACTCTCTCTCTCTCTCTCTCTCTCTCAAATAAAGACATTTTTAAAAAGACAATAAAAACACTCACGTCATAACAACACAACTTCTTGCACAGAAACACATACACACACACACACACACAAGCCCAAGGCCCTCATTAAAAGGTGAGAGCGTCAGTAATTATGTATTACTGCACTGTGTGTTTTTTGTGCTCATCTGTGGATAGGGAGTGTGTTTTCCTGTGTATTTCCGCTTACTGTCTGACGACTGGGGCTCATTAGTGTGTGTGTGTGTGTGTGTGTGTGTGTGTGTGTGTGTGTGTGTGTGTGTGTGTGTGTTGATATGACAGCACTAACTGCCTCTGCTGTATTCTCACACCAGGTTTGTAAAATTTGTCAAAGCCAAAGGGAGCAGACACATACAGTCTTCCGCCCTTCTGTTTCTCTCTCTTCCTCCGCTTTTCCCTTCCTTTCCCTTTCTCTCGTCTCCTCCTTCTCTTCCCCTTTTCACTATTTTGAAATCTCTTGAAACCTTCACCATTAATCATTAACGTTCTTCCTTTTCTTAGACTCCAAGGGTCATGTAAGAAAACTTCTTACTTATTTAAGGTCCCTTGGCTTTGGGTCCACTGTTAAATCAGTACCTGTGATGTTTCATTCTTTCAAAGCATAATGATTCAGAACACTTCAGAGAGTCTTACAGCATCTGTAGGTATGGTGCAATCTTTTACTTAACTTGCATGTCCAGTCCAACTCACAATAGACATTGTCACAGAAGCCCAACAAAAATCCAGGCCCCGATGCCTAATGAGAAGGCAGAGGATGAGAGTGTCAAGGAAAACTCCCTGGAAAGAAAAAAAGGCTTTAAAGAAATATTCCAGCATTTTCTACCTACTCTACATCTGCTTCAGCTGAGCTGTACTGTTCATTAACACAGACAATAATCTTGATTATTTAATTTCTCTGTACTTAGTAAAGAACTGAAACCTGTTGACTGTGATGTTTGATGATGGAACACACACACACCCACACATCATCTAAACTGCTTATCCTTCTGGGTCGCGGTGGGGTGCTGGAGCCTATCCCAGCTGTCATTGGGCGGAAGGCAGGATACACCCTGGACAGGTCACCAGTCCATCGCAGGGCACTTTTGGAACACTGTAGAAAAAATTATGTAATTCTGGTTACTTTCATGTTCCCAAAGATTTTCCATGTACAGTCATCCTGGAGCCTGCCAATACTCACAATAAAACTCACAACACTTTGTTAGTAATGTACATGCCAATTTTTTCCCATTTATGAGAGAGCAAATCATTTACAGCAAATTTGTGTAAGACATTTGTGATTTTTTACAGAACTGAAATATTCATAAAAGTATGTGACTCTAAAGCTCACAGGAAGTCAACATGTGAAACAATGTGAAAAGTTACAAATAGTTAAAGGAACGGTTCAAGAAAATAATCTAATTTACATTTACAATTTTTTCACTTACCCCAGATGTAGTTGATCAGCAAAGACATGTTTGAGCTCCATATTTTGCTTCTTTATTTTTCAGCTGGACCTACAAGGCTAATGTTGCTAATAGAAGACTAGAAGTCAATAGTTACCTCTTCCATAAATACATGCCTAAAACTTCTCTCAACCTGCTCAATCCACATCATCCACAAGTCTTCTTTAAGATCACACAGACTTGTTGATGTGGTTTAGAGCACAGTGTAACTGAACTATAAAAACAAGTTAAATTCTAAAGTAATCCATGTTAAGATGTTATGATACTATTGAAGTGTGGACTCTTTCACATGTCCTTTTTATAAAAGAAACAGAGAACCTGCATTTAGTACTCTTTTCCAGTTTTATACACCCCCCCACACACATTAAACCTCCACCTGCTTCCTCTTTGCTCATTACAAATACACAGGCATGTGTATATTGCTGTGATGCATATGTAAGACATTTAGTCTTGTAAAATCAATGCTACTTAATATAACAAACATGTTTATGATGTGATGACACATCACACCTGATGTCCTGAATAACACTGGATAAAAATATTTTGGAGATGGGACGTTCCCAATCCCAGTCCTGGCAACCCCATGCTCTGCATATTTTCTCTACTCTACTGAGCCAAGAAGTAGCTTGTAAATTGGTCAGTAAGTTGAATCAGGTGAGCAGGATGAGACAAAACGCAAAAATGTGCATAGTGTGGGGTCACCAGGACTGTGATTGGGACCCCCTGTTTCTAATACTGCTGTCAGTTGGTCTCGGTTTTATCTGAAAAACTAATTTCCCACCAGAAAGCACTACATGCATGGCTAAGTTGTGACACACCACTGTTTTTGTCATGGCAGAGGATAGAAGCAACAGTCGAACAATGACAAGCATTCAAATAAACATGTTTTAAACATGTACAGTTAGCCCACATTTTATAACTGCTTCATATGAGTTCAAAAACACAAGTAAAATAGGCCAAATCTGATAGATGCTCGCTAAAAAACTACAACACCCAATTCACAGCTTCAGAAATCTCTCACACCTACCACATGAACATGCACACCAGGTGAACGTGTTCCTCCTTAGAGAAAACTACCAGGTGCTGGTCAGAGCAAGAAAGATGAGTCTCAATTTGTAATCACACAGGCAATAGCACAGGCCGCAGGGATGGGCTGTACCACTAATTTTATTTTCGATCCTGATACCAATCCTGATACCTATACTTTTGTGATTTCTACAGTGCAAACCAGCAAAAAAGTGGACATAAAAAATCTATTTTAAAGCCTTTACATTAGTATTACATAAACTGCCACATAAACTGCGTTTAACATCTCAAACATGAAGCAGTACTACAAACACGAAGACTAAACCACATCTGTGAAAGTGAAACTAACTAGAATACACAACTAACAAGAGTATATATGCCCCTTGGAGGGTACACATATCACAGTTTGGGAGCTACAGCTCTATTCAAACCAGACTTTACACCAGAACACAATGCACTAATGCTTACTTACTGTACTGAGGGAAATTAATTACTCCCCTTTTGTGATCTATACCCTGGCCTTCATGTCTTCATGCAGTGCTTAAAAGCGGTTTTCTGTGATATAATGAAGATTTTTTTAAATCAGCCATTCATCATTATGGTCGCCGCAGCTTTATCCATATTGTATTACTGTTTATGAGTTGTTGTTTTTTTGTTTTTTTTTTGTCAGAGAGACTTTTATCCTTGTATTAAAATGTTTCTAAAGGCTTAGTGGGCAGAAGAAGAAACTCACAGGAGTTATGGTTAAGAATCGTGCTTTTGCAGTCAATGAAACAGTAGCTGACTGTCAAGCTGTCTGGCTTTATGAATAAGGCTTTAAATAGAACATCTTTTTCTCTTTTTCCCTGCTTTCTCAGATTGGCAAGGTTGGCCTCAGTTTTGCATGAAAGAGTATGTCTGTGTGTGGGTTTGTGTGTATGGGCAAAATGCACACTTGGATAGACACGAAAAGGTGATGCATCAAAGGCATCTTCTTCATGCATTATAAGTTTCGTGAGTTAAAAGCGTATGCCTTCATTTTAGATTCATTTCCAGATCAGTTTTAAGCAAAAAATCAGGTTAGCATCCTGCAGCACAGATGCATTATAACATAATCCAAGCAGAAACACAGCAAAGCACACAGCCATATGATATGAAACGTGCTTGGAGATTGGGGGATTTAAATCAAATACATCTCTCCTGGTCCCTCATGTAATTACTTACCTTACTGTGCTTGCAGCATATTACCACTAGCTATTACCACTAGCTGTTCTCTCCCATGACTCGCTAACATGAGTACAAGGCATATCGACCCCATAAAGAGGGTTCAAAATGATTATGCATATTATATCATAGCACTAACGGGTATGCTAACACGTCACCAGTCATAATATGAGAAGTAAAAAGTATTGGAACTACACAGCATGCAGTTGAATGCAAAAGTTTGGGTGCCCCTGCTTAATATATATATAAACAGGAAATATTTAATGAACATTGATTTATATGCAATGAACATTGATATATATATAATGAACTTTGATATATATGGAATGAACACTGATAATATATACAATGAACTTTGATATATATACAATGAACATTGATATATATACAATGAACATTGATATATATGGATTGAACTTTGATATATATGGAATGAACATTGATATATATGGATTGAACTTTGATATATATGGAATGAACATTGATATATATGGATTGAACTTTGATATATATTGAATGAAAGTCGCTGTTGAAGGGTTGAGGATGAATGGGCATTAACAAACTCCAGGTGGAGCTTAAAGGAAGGGAATTCTGATAAAGTGACCAGTATCTATACACAGTGATCCCGTGGACAGAGTGACCTGAGAGTGGCGGATATATGATGTGAAGACACAGATGGGTGGAGTTTCAATATATACAAAATTTGACATGGTGCAGAAGAAGAGTCAGATGAGGCCATAACTTCTGTTTGAAAAATGCTCTTTTATTGAGAGCAAGGGAAAACAATGCCACTTGAAAAGCACCTGAAAATTGAGGTAGGTCACTCCTAGCTGTACTCTTTCTTCTGATGGTCACCAAACACAAACACACTCTCCCTAACTCTGAGCTGGACACAAAATAACAGAGTAAACACATACACACACTGTAACTAAAGAACAACAACATAGCAACATTAAATAACAATGTAAACAGTCTGTTTTTTGTGCAAGGCTACAACACACACAACCCCAAAAGTCCCTCTCTGTCTAAACAAAACATTTTATGAATTATATTATTCATTTTTTCATCTCAATGTTCGATCCATGTACATCAAGGTTCGTTCAATATATATACATTTTCATTCAATATATATCAATGTTCATTCCATATATATCAAAGTTCATTCTATATATATCAAAGTTCATTCCATATATATCAGGGTTCACTAAATATATATCAAAGTTCATTCTATATATATATCAAAGTTCATTCCATATATATCAAAG